TTCTGGTAGAACAAATGCTGGTTTTATTTGTTTCCTAAAATTAAGAAAAATAATAATTAACTCAAGCAACTGCTTGTATGATGGACTCTAGGCTTCTCATCAAGTAACACAGCTTTGCTAGATGTGAATGGTGACCACCCTTTTCTCCCCCCGCTTCACCACATGTTCATTTTTACCTTTAATTTTTCTTCTCTTCAGAATTTTCTTCTAACTTTCTCCTTGCCTTTCCCAGGGTCACCAAAGGCTTCTTTGGGAAATTTCCAACAGGGACCCCAAAATATGTTTAGATCTATATCATTCTTTAGCTGCTCACAATATAAGGTCAAGTCAGTAAAGCAAAATAAAATAAAATTAAAAGGTCTGAGCACTGTGGTTGCTGTGCTGCTCCAGTTACATAATTTCCTCTGAAAGGAAATGCCCCATGCCACCAAGCCAAGAGCTTTTAACCTTTCTTAGAGGAGAGGTATATCTAAATTTGAACAGATTTTACGAAGAAATTTGTTCTCTAGGCTATTTCAGCATACAGTTTAAACTCAAATCCATGTTAAGTGCTCAAAATAGTAATAAATGTTCCTCTTTCATGTTCATTTTTAAGACTCTCAAAACATCTTCCTTTTCAGAGCTATCATTGAATACAAGTTTATGGGAAGCAGTGCTCTCAAGCCCAATAGTAAAAGCCAAATCTTCACCTACTGAAACTCAGTATGCTTGACCCTTTCACTGGAGAGACGCTGATTTACACAGGTGAGAACCCAGGTTTAAGTGTTTTATTCTATCAGCAGACTAAGAGAAAGTGAGTTGTTTTGCTGAGACTTCATCTACAGTGCAGCAATGGTTATCAAAGCAAGGCAGATATTGGGAATTTCACTTTGCAAGACAAATATTGCACATGTGTAGTTGTAACTCAGCATAAAAATGTTCTATCCAGTTTCAACTTGGAAATTAAAAAGCACAATTACTCTTTTTTCCATTGCAATACAAAAACATAACATACTAAGAAGTAAGAGCAATGCATTCTTCAGATTGCAAGCAGATTGCTCATGGATTGCAAGCAAATAGAAAAAATGGAGTCACAATTTTGTATGAAAATAAAGTAATTTCTAAACTAAATGGATCATTAGAACAAGATGTACTACAAGTGCTGTGCCACAGATGTCACTTTTGCGCAAGTTCATCAGCAAAAGAGCACAATAAAAGGAAGATATAGGCACTCAATTTCCATTTCATATACAACCAATATAAACATCCTGGTGGAGCTGGAATATTTGGGATCATACATTATTCCCTTTTTTAAGCACAGTCAGGGGAAGTTCCACTAGAAAATCAAGGGCACAGTTTGGTCTTCAAATTTTTCAGGAATTTCTGCAGTTTGTCTGCTTCAACTTGCCAGATACTAGAAGTGAAGGGTCAAATCTGCAGGTAGTGTAAATAAGCACAGCTCTGTAACAGCTTTGAGCTTATGCTCATTTACATCACATTGAAATTTTATTTCTCACTTCTGTGAGTTACTGTGGATGTATATATATATATATATGCATGACTGTGTGGTGAATACATACTATACAGAAAATGAATGCTTTGATCTGTCAAAATGAAGATATAAATATAAAACAGGAGACAGAATATGGAAATCATACATTCTGCATTTACTTTGAAAACTGAAAGTTATGGGGAAAGAAACATTGTTTATGTTCAAGGAGAACCTGGTGATTTGCTTTAATAATCTAAAACAAAACCACCATCACATGAAAGATTTATCAAGTTCCTGTCATATTTGACAGGCTCAAGCTATAACTTGCTAACTTTTGTATAAACAAATAATTACTAGACAGTGACAGATCCATTGTGGATTCCTGCTTTTACAGTATAGACCCTGGTGCAGCAAAGCGCTTCAGACAAGTTAACTTTAAGCAACTGACTAGTCCCAGGGAGTTTGGCAAGCTCACTCACCTGCTTAAAATTAGCCATATATTTAATCTGAGATGTGCAATTTAACTCCATCATTAATCTGCAAAGTACTTCAACCTGCGCATAGAGCAGCTGCTTTGTATAGGGCTTACACGCATGCTTAGATACTTTTCCAAAAGAGGAGTGTGTGGTTTGATTCTTCAAGAACCTGATCATTTTAGATGTAATCCTGCACAGCATTCAAACAAGCGAGTCATATTCTATGCACAAGAATCAGTGAGAGCCAACATTGCTTATAAGTTAAACCCTACTTCTAAACTTTACAGCATGTGGCAAGTCTAAGCCAGTGAATACAGAGAATGTTAAAGTTAATCCCCCAAATATACTGTATTCACATTTTATTCCACAAATGCAGTTCAGTATAAATTATTCAGTACAGTGGTTTAGACTATAATATGAAAAAGATCTAATATGTTTTGTGAAAGCAATGATGCCTCAGTAAAGGAGGGCTTCAATTCCCTGCTCTGAGCTTTGCTGCAGCAAATAAATAGCAGGCTTTCTGGAAAAACAGCAAGGGAGCAGCTCAGACAGCCTCTGACAAACTTGTCTGTTACAACATTGGTGCAGAACCAGTAGCAGTGGCTATGCTGCCATGCACCAGTAGCTCACCATGGCTCTTCACCATCCAGAAGGCAGGACACAGCTGGGTGATTCCCCATGCTGCCAAGGTGGCTGAGTGAGCCGCTCACCCACCTGTGCTCTGGAGAATGCTCAGGACAAGAGGTGATGGCCTCCTCTCTCTGGTACTGCCAAGGAGGGAGATCCATTCCAGCCAAGCCCTAGCTTGCAGATTGCACCCTTGTAGCTACGCAAGCATCTCCTTGTAACTCTTCTGGAGCATGTTCCTCTTCAGCTGCTAAAGTCTTAAATTGGTAACAAAAATGAGGGATTTTTCCAATGCAAATAGTTGCATGCTTTCTCCTACGCGTCTTTACAGATATCTAGGTTTGCACGGTCTTTTTGCACAGCTATTTCTGCCATGATTAATTAGTGGATTCATAGAAGGTGGGAAAAAATCAGGGGAAGAAATGTCTGCTTTTTCCAGTGGCCATAGGTTTGTTAAGATAATGATAAGAAAAAGTATGATGAAAGTAAAAAAAATCCCAAGTTTGTGTGGGCCAAGTCTCTAAATAGGATAAATCTAGTCAGCTGACTAGAACATTATTCATCTTTAATTAGTTTGAAGCAAATAGTGCAATTTGTGCCAAGCTGCAAAATCACGCTGTCTTCATGAGGAACCAGCTTGACAACAGAGACAAATTAATCCCTGCAAGAGCACTCCTTCTGTAAGCTCACCATCAATATTCCTCATTTAAAAAGTAGTATGCTGAGCAGGTTCTTCCATTAGGCTGTTTTTGTATTACAGTTTGACTCTTCTTCCCTACTGCTTAAACTAGAAATGTAAAAACTGGGGGACTTTTTGTCATCCCATAAATATACCTGTTGCATAATTATGCAAATCAAATTAGGAGCAGTCAATGGAATGTTTATTTATCCAAAAAGCTCACCCAGATTGCCTGCTGACTTTCTTGGGACGTGAATGCATTTTCATCTCTGTTCAAACATAATTTTTCACCTTAATACAGACAGTGATTTTGCTGCACCAAGATCTACAGCCTTTTCCAAATAGCAGTGTTCTAATAAAGTGAAGAAATCCAGCTACAAAGGGAAATGACAACTAGCTATAAGGATACATTTGAAAAAACACTAAATTATCCCAATTTTGAAAGACAGTGATGGTCCATTAGCAACAGTGTGTGTGGGAGGCAGGGATCAGTTATCTTGGGCATTTGAACTACTATTTGGGAAGGAAACAATGTGGTTTGCTTTTGTTTTGATTTTTTTGTCATACGAAATTTCACTGCTAATATTTGCAGAACGAGACATTAAATTCGCTATATGTGTTGCTCTATCTTTGTCCTCTGATTGTGTTTCACAGACAAAAAAAAGGCATTTTACAGCCATTTCTACCAAGATTATAGACACGGCCATTAAAATTTTTCTCTTCAAAATCAATGGAAAAAAAAGCAGAGCTGTGCTTACAGTCATGAGCTTAGCCTTGTCATTCAGGAATGTGAAAACTGGAAGAAAGAGACGGCACCAGAAGGCACAGTTACTGCAATGCCATTATCGTCCTACTCCTACAAAGCTCTTCCTTGATTCACTCCTTTCAGCCATTGGTTCCTCCCCATTTTCAGTTGTGTACACAAGACACCAGAAACAGATGGTCAGTTTTTCTTAAAAGCTTTCCCCTTAACCTAAAACCTATTGTTTATCAAAGCATTTATAATATATACGTCATATATATAAAAGATATATAATATCTATTATATATATAACAAAACACAGAAGGTTAAATAAAAAGAGCTACACAGCTCAGCAGACGTGTAAAAACACAATTCAATAATCCTGTGCTTAAACTTAGAAACTGTGTGGAAGTTTAAATTCTTGTTATAAGGAAAAAGTTCTCTTTTTTCTGTTTATTGTTTGTTGGATTTTAGTTATAATTCGCATTTAAAACATTTGTTACTGCTATGCTAATACCAGCTGTTAAATTCTCCCAGTGAACTTCGATCTTGACTATAAAATAGGATTCTGGGGAAAGGAAAGATCTGTGCATGGTGAATTTTTCTAGCAAGAAACAGATAAATTTTTTGCTCTTTAAGAAAAAAAAAAAAAAAAGAACAGTAAGGGAGTAAGCGTTGAAATCCACAGGAAAAAAAATACGGCCCTCAGTCCCAGTAACTGGTCTTCTTTGGCACTTGAGAATGATCACAAGTAGTTTGCCTTTTTATTCATATAGAACAAAATTTACAAAGTCATTCATACATTTTTGTTTGTTTTTTTGATTTGTTTTTTACTGACTTCGAAAATTGGGAATATTCAAAATACACTTTTACCCCACTTCATTCTTTCATTGTTTACAGGTATATACAAGAAAAACGTACAAGTTTGTTTTGTAGGGTTTTTTTTTTGTTTCTTTTAAATTTTGTATTAAAAAGCTCTGCTGGTTGTTTTACTGTTTGTTTTCATCATATGGATGTTCCATGCGAGGGCTCCATTGCTTCTGGAATGACTCCCCCCGGCACAGACTGAAATGACATTGGGATCGGGGTTTTCACGGGGCTCTGACGAAATAGTCCTCCATTTGGTGATCTGTGTTTACACTGTATGGAGGGCATGGTGGCTGAGCTGCTCAGGGGCAGCGGCAGGTTGCTGCCAGAGGCAGCTGTGAGTGTCCTGCTAGCACCATGAGTTGTCTGTTCTGGTAAAAAGGTGGTGACAGAAAGTTGCGTGTTCTGGTATTCACGTACTGGCTCCAGGGTCTGAGCTGGCTGCATGCCACCAATCTCCAAGGCTGAGATTTCAATGGATGCTGGAGAGATTTGCTTGTGGGCTATGTCTTCATCAATTAAACTGTTCATGCGTCTATGGACCTGTTCCAGGTTCACTTCTTTGTCCTAGTGAGGAAGAAACCAGAACAATCAGTCCAAACACAATCTTTAATCCCGTCCGGCCCCCCTCCACCTCCTCTGTGTGACAGGAGTTGCTGTTCACTCATTACGTTGCTCCAATTTCATCCATGCCTATACAAAAAACCTTGAGGTCTGCCCAGTATCTTCAGCTGAGGAACACATGCTGAAGAAAACACCAGCTCAATCACAGCCTGCAAAAGGCCCTGATGTTGTCAATCACAGCCTCCTTGGAGGTAAAACAACGGCTCTGGTTCAGCTAACAGGAGCTGGCACCAGGGACCAGCACATCCCAGAACCCTTAGCTCACCTTGCACAAGCCCAGGAAAAAAGCATAAGGCAGGCAAACAAGCAAGCTGGGACTCCAAATTCCAGCAAGCAGCTCACCACCTTGTAAACCACAAGACAGCTCGCCACTGCCTTATCTAGCTGCAGTGCATTTTCTAAGGAACATGTCAGTGAAACACTGTGCACAGCCTAGCTGACTCCAGAGTAGTTGCTTCATGTGCCAAAAATCTGCTGCCCAGGGGTTGTGGGTGAAGAAGTCTTCCCTTGCCAGCAGGAAGCCCTGGGTTACCTATGCGGCACAGACTACAAACCTACTGGAACAGCACTAAGAGAGACCTACTCTGGGAGCCATGGATAGGAGACCACTCATTTGTGTTTTGAACAGTTGTGTGACCAATTATAATCTGTCATCTTGACATGTCATCTGGTGAAAGTCTGTCTGTGGTCAGAGCTTGGGAAAGTAACACTAGTCTTTAGAAAATGCATCACCATCTTCTGAGAATGCACTGCCCAAGGCTCCTGGAGCAGTCTCTTCAAAGGACTTCTGGGACCACTTACTCAATATGTTTTAGTTTCCATAAGGAAATACAGCAAAAAAAGTTGTCTTTAATACCTGAATCAGCACAGACCTACAATGGGCTGTTTATCACCTCAGCACAGCATTCAGGATGCTCAAATTGGAAAGCAACAAAACTGGCAAGGTAGTCAACCACCTGGGATGATGTATGACTGAATTTTAATAGCTAGCATTGTATTGCCAATAAAAAGGTATTATATTATATCATTTCTCTATATTTTACAAAGCACAGCTATGATCTGCAGTTGTAGTTATTTGATGCAAGCGTAACATACAGCAGACTAGCAGCAAAGCATCTATAAAAGCCCAACTACCATGGAACCAGAGAAATTCTCTGGTCTGACAGAAACACTAGGCAGCCAGCAAGATTCCAGCCTAAGAAGTAGGACTACCTGAAAATTTTGTGTTCCAGTAACCCCTGATTGCCCACAGATCAACGTGTGCTTAAATGTTGATTAAACCCAACACCATCAGTCTTACACGTGCTCTGATTCGTACCAAAAACGAGGCTTTGCGAACAGAGAAGTGTAAGATGACACTGCCACCCACTCCTTGTGATCTTTTGCTGCTGGTGTTCAGGTGGAGCACAGAGAATCACAATATTATTCCAGTGGTATCCGCTGCTATGCAACTTTGTTTTCACCTGTAAATTAACAAGTCAACCCCAAAGCCCTTGATTCCAGTCAAAGTCAACTACAGATTTGATTCTAACCTTGTGATTCACCCTTTTACGTTACCCAAGAACCATTGTATTTGCTCACCTTTGCATGGATTTGGAAATGAATTAGTGTTATATGATGACGAACCCAAACCTGTGTCCTTAGCTTAGGTTAAATCCATATTCATTTCAACTAGAGTACAATTGTTCAACAATCACGTCTGAGCTGCATGTTGCACCTCCTTCACTAATCAGTAGAAAATTCCTATTTCATTTACATCACAAATCCACCAAAATCCCAATGAATCTCCCAGAAACCCAGAAGATATCATCTTCCTCACCAAAGAAACAAACAATTTTTAAAAACAAATACTGCTTTTTCAGCTAAATCCTCTAATCAGACAATTTTGAGCTAGAGAAAATCAATGGATAATAAATGAAATAAACTTTTGTGGCAGAAGGGGACTACACAATACTTGATCAGATTAACTCCTGCAGTTGCGTTAAGTCCTTCCTGCCAACAGCCATACTGAACAAAGCGCCTGACAGGGCAGGTAAGTTAGACAGTGCACCAAGCTGACAATAACACAGAGGCTCTTTCATGAAATCTGTAGCTAGGCAAATTAAGGATTTGTGGTACAACGGCCAGAGGATTACATAGATTTAATTCATTATTTTATTTATTTCTATTTCTTCAAGTAAAATTGTGGACTAGGGGCAGGTGTTCTTTTATTATCCCCTGTTGGCAGTAAGGGCTCGACCTCTATTGCCCAGTTCCTTTTGCATAGATGTCTGGCTGCACACTGCTGTGTTTTCCTTAACTGCATGTCAACGAAAGCTTGCTAAAAAGTTCTCCTTGTCCACAAATTTCAGTTACTACCACATAGGATGATATCTGTGACTAAGGAAGCCAACTCCCAGAAGCCCACGATATGCTTCTTTAGGTACCCTGTACTGTTTCTTTTCTCAAAAATGCTGCTAGCTTTGCTTTATACTCTTAGGTTGGCATTGTAGTTATCTGAGACCTATATTCTTGCTAAGCCCCTACTACAAAATAAGAAAATAGTGGAGAACTTCAGTTTGAACTGAGCAAATACTAGAATCAACTTTCCTAAATAAGACTTCAGAAAAATGTTCATGACTCATTTGCATTTCTCTGCACTTTTGTCAAATACTAATGCCTTCCTCAGATGATTTCAAGTGAAAACACATCAACATTTTATTTGTATTTGTATTTTTTGGTTGCAAGTACTTTCTCAGTGCATTCCATCCTGCTTTGCTACAGGAACAAATACAATGTGACTGGGATAACTACCCAAGCCAGAGGGAAAGGTAGAGTTTCAGTATTTGCATCATGCAGGCATTAACTGTTTGCAGAGGAAAAATACACTTGTGAGTGAAATGTGCTCTTCATTTGGAGCATTTGTGCACAAAAGGTAATAAAATTCAAAGGATTAATCAATTGTGGTTATGTATTTAGCTTAGCTCTTTTAAGATGTAAACATGAAAAGCCACAGATGGGATGCTCTTAACAGATATCTCCTGGTCCAGACCAAAGGGGTTATTAAGGACCATGTCATTTGGAATGTTCCCCTCTGCTGGCCTAACAGGATTGCCCTCTTTTCTGCTACTATGCACAGCCCAGCCCTGGGATAGCATTCCTCCAAAAATGGTGGATTTGCAGTTCCTTATGTTTCACAATATAAACTTATGTTTCACTGTGTTCCATTATCAAGAAAAACGTAACCCCTGCACACAGACATCCCATTTATCTACAACAGGACACTTTATGAAGTAAGTAGAGAAGTAAATGCTTGAGATTTTTTTAAGAAGTAGGGATGGGGATTTCATTTGCCTACTTCTAACTCTTTTTTCAGCATTAAGGACAACTTTCTAGCTTTATTAAGATCAGAGAAAACTTTTTAAAAGGCTTCCAAGAGCCCAGAAGTTCACATTATTCCTTCTTTTTGCTATTAAAATACAATGTTTATAAAGGTTAAGGAAAACAACTGTGTCTCTGAGGAATAATAAAAACACATTTTTAAAAGTTCATCCCTTTTTCCTTGTCTTATTACATGAAGAGCAGCTAAATAACTACATGTCAAGCTTTGTATGAAACAGTCTTAATGCTGAATGAATGATTCTTCAAATGTTCAAAAAAATCCCCTAAGATAGAAGATAGAAACCTTTGAAAAGATTAGTTTGTCATTACATACTAGAAGCCTGCCTTGATTCCCAGGATTTCCAGAACTGAAGGTTTTGGAATAGCTTTACTTGACAAGGCAAGCTTTCAGAATCAGTAAGTTCTGTAAACTTCATCTTTCTTTTCCTTCATTGTTCTCCTGGAAAATTCAGTGACAAAGCATATGTTACTGAAAAGTAACAAGGTAAATGGAAAAAGAGTTAAATAGTAACAAAGTCAGAAAAACAAACCTTCAAAGTTATGATGTTTTGCTCCTTGTCCACTCAGTGTTCTCCTTTATTTTTAGTTCTATAATTCTCATTGAATATGAGCCATTTGTTGTAATTTTTAAGCACTTAGGTTGCATTTTTTTTCATTTCCTGAGGCTTTGTCACCTTAATTGTGAAATGTTAATGTTGCATTGCAAAAGATTTTCAAACTTTCTGATGCTGTAACTGTTCTCTATTTTTGCATTGCTCTATGACAAAATTAATTAATCAAAATTAATAAACTACTATAAATAAATTGAGGCTTGGAGGTCAAGAGTGGCAAAGGCACCAGACCTATCAGCTGGATGGGAAAAACAGGAGCCATGCTGGAGGCTGGTGTGCCGATCTTCCAGTGCAGAGACTTCCCTTACCTAAAGAAAAGCCCCTGGGGGGAAGCCTGACTGCTTCTCTTCACAAAGGTTTCTGGCTTCAGCTCCACATAGCTCCATAGGTCTCTTCAAGAGCTGAATGAATGAGCTCCAGACTTAATAGGTCAGTGTCCGTGACAGACACATAACCAAAGTTTTCTTCTCTTTCCTGTACTTAATATGCAAAACTTTGTTAATATTACAAATATGTCATATCTTAGATGTTTCACGCCAATTCAACTTCACTTTTCATCTGTAGCTACATTGGATAAATGTATACGCTTCTGTGGCCAGAAGGAGTTCAAATATTTTTCCTTTGCTACCTTCATAATTCTATTTTCAATATTAATGTTGTACTGCAAATAGATCAGTTGAAGAAATTAACCAGCGAAGGAAAGAAAAAAAAAAACACGTCTAAGGAAAATGAATTACAAATACAGGCTTATCCTCCTCAAGCTTACGGAAAACAGCTAACCAACCTTTGCTTCTGGTCAGGAAACAATCTTCTTCATAAATATGAATTTAATTGTCATTCTTCCACAATGAGTTTGAGTCCTGGAAGGATGAATGAAGGGCATATTTCTGATACGTCCCAAGAACTTGATCATGAGCAATAGGTTCAATGGCCCATGACTGACAGCAAGAG